ATGGAAGATGATAGATTTCAATATCCTTTTGCCAAGAGCTGTACAAACAGTTTTAAGAAATGCATTTATAGTATATTATTCACTTATACTAAAAAAGTAGAATTTTTTTCTTATTTAGTGATTAATAACAAAGACTGGAAGTGATCACACCAAAAGAACAACAGAAGATGAAAAATGAAGAATAAGAAACATACTTGAGCTTTACACATGTTCTAGAGGCCACTCTTCCTATAAATCACACACTTTGTTCAACTGACATTCACATTAGAAGGAAGAAGCCTAATTGCATCTTTAAAATTCTACAATCCAAATGACTTCCATAAAAGTTTGCTACGACTTAGGTTATTTAGTATTATGCACCTCACATGCCCTTCCTGATACGACAACAAAAAATCAGATTTATCTTCTGGTTCTTCCATCACAAAAAAATGTATTTCTAGAAAAGGCTGACCAATGGTTGTTTATCTGTGAAATTAAATTAAACATTCCCTGTAAAAAGCTGGAAATAATGACTTAAGATACATTTAGTCACAGGCAGCTTCTTTTCCTCCCAGATGTTCTCATAAACAAACCAACAAAGTTACTGAGCAGGATTTGAATTTTTCTCCTTGTGTATTAGCGTTTTCCTGGGAACCCCTAGCAGCAAATCTGACACATACTGGTAACATGGAATTTGATGACCCAGAAAGTCACTTCCAGTTATAAAGGTCTAATTCCCATCAGTGTTTCTGTCTCTGAAAGCACAGGGACAGTTACTCTAAGCAATCCTGTACTTCAAGCACATGCAATGAAGCAAGTGAGAGAAAGAGATGTAACACAAGGCGAAAGGAACATTGCTGGAAGTTTAATTAAGAAAGATCACTAATCCCCAAACTGCAAAGCATGTGGTTCCTCCAGCCCTCCTCAGAACTAATTTTTGGGAGCTAAAGGAGGATGAGGAGAGGTACAAAATATGCCTGTGTTATCAGATGTGAAGAAGATAATGCACAGCAGTTGACCGGTCAGACAGAGTCACCAGCTCATTGCCCCAGCAGACCGTGCAGTCTGGAGGAACCCTTGGTCCCTGCCTGACCAGGAAACTGCTGTCCAGACCCAGGCTCCCCACCACACTAGGCTGCCAGCCAGCCTACAGAAAGGATTTCGTATCAGTATTTCCAACATGATAAATTACAAAACATCCTTGTCTCCAAAAGCCTAAATTTTTTACTTTACTTACAAGTTTGGAATTTAAAAATACAGATAAACCATGCTTTGGAGTCTATCTATTCCCATCAACCTAAACAGAAATTTCATTCTCTGCAGCCCTCAAGCTCTAACTAGACGCAAAGTTCATGGTTGGCTTGCATTATTTTTATTTTTTCATAGATTCATAGAATGGTTTGGGTTGGAAGGGACCTTAAAGGTCATCCAGTCCAACTCTCCCACCATAGTCAGGGACACCTTTCACTAGACCAGGTTGCTCAAAGCTCCATCCAACCTAGCAAGACAAATTTGTCTTCTCACTGGGCACCACTGCGAAGAGTTTGGTTCTCTATTTTCCCTTCAACTGGTATTTACACTGACTGGTAAGACCCTCCCTGAGACTCGTCTTCTCCAGGCTGAGCTATCTGAGCTCCTTCTTGGTATCAGGCAGTCTAGTCCCTTAATCCCCACCACTGGTCCTGTTCCAGCACTGGTCCTGTTCCAGCATGTCCCTGTCTCTCTTGCACTGAGAAGCTGAGACCTGGACACAGCACCCTAGGTGTGGTCTCTCTGACAATTCTCTAGTCATAACACGCATTTGTAAAAATAATATGTATCCTTGGGGGAAAAAAAAACAACACCAAAACCAACCAACCAAGCAAACAAACAAACAAAAACCTCCCGGAGAGCCTGAGGAACTTTAATCAAACTATCTCAGATCAAGTTCAAGGCTTATAGTCCCTGCCCACTTTGCTTGTGCTTTCATGCTACTTGTACAGAGGAAAGGAAGACCAAAACTCCCTGTACCTGGCTCAGCTATTCTGGAGGTAAACTGCCAGAGCTGTTTTCTTGCTCTAGCTGCTCCAAAAAACAAAAGTCCAATCCCAGCTTGGTGGGAAAAAGCCATTTGTCCAAAATTCTTCCTACAAAATGAACTGAAGTGCAGAAAGGGATAATGAGAATGCCTACATGAGCACAGCCCCAGTCAGATGCAGCAACTGTGAGGAGTACTGAAAAGCCCTGGAGGGATTTTTTTCAGGAAAGCTTTTCTACACATTGCACCCTGTCTTCACGTTTCAAGGGTCACATTCAAGTCATCTGCCTGCTCTACTCCTGCTGCAGCCAAGCCAGCCGTCCCCAGGGCAGCAGCACTGCCACTGCAATCAGAGGCAGAGGGGACTTTCTTCAGCTCTGGTGTCGTGAATAATCTGCTTTGGACACCCAGCATCAGCATCCTATCCCCTCAACAACCTGTACCTGGAACACAGAGAACTTTTCATTCTCTGGCCATTATCCTGGCTATTTTGTCTTACACCTGCCATAGAAGCGCAAGAAAGGTTCTGCTGCAGAAAAAGGACACTCCATAGATCAAAGGATTCAAGTGGAGTTTTGTGAAAAACAGTGTTTATTTTGGGAAAGAATGTGAGAAAGGACTTTGGCAGGAGTCAAACTTAATCAGCGTCTGACTGTACTCATCCAGAAGACTCAAGGGAAGGAGACCAAGTCTACATTCTGCAGTTGTTCCAATCCTGGTGACAATCCTCTGAAGTCTCGAGTTGCTGCCAAAAAGAAGGGAACAACTTGCTGATTGGCATGTTGGGGGGACAGAAAGAAAAAAAAAGAAAGAAAAAATCTGTTCCTTCAACATCTTCCTTTCTGAAACAAGCCAAAAGAAACTGTTTATTATGAGTGCTCTTTCTAACTTGCTTTAGAACTGACAGGTATAAAACAACTGCAGAGCCTGGTGGGAAACAGGATGGGAATAAAATGAAGAAAGAGAAAAGGTAAAAAAGCAAGTACAACATAATGAACTCATCAATCACGTTTCTCCCAGCAGCTCCCTATGTTTCTTCTGTTGCTGAACAAGTTCCAAGCACCCCGTACATAAAAAAAAAAGAAAAATAAATAAAAACTCAGAGTGGGAAAGCTAGTGAGGCAGTACGTCAGAATGTGAAATGTTACATGCTGTTCTTTAATTTATATCCACTTCTATAAGTACAGCTAAATACAGACACATAAGTTGGTCTACAGAGAGAAAATTAAGAATTGATGAGAGTTTAAAACAGCTTTTCCAATACAACTACTTAAATTACTTTAAGTAAACCACTAAAATAAATTCCTGCAGAAAAACACAATAAATTTCTGCTAGTAATACTACTAAACGACTTCTAAGTGCCCTTACAGTATTGATCAGAAGCTCATCAACAGAGAGTATAGCTCCAGCATAAGCTCCAGAATGACTTCGTGCTCACGGACAAATACTCCTAGATCCTATTTTGTTTCCTGCCATCTGTTAAGAAATCAAAACATTACAGAATGTAACACATTTCTGCAAAAGTTCATATCAGCCTGTAATAATTTGAACCTACAGAAAATTCAGGTTCTAACCCCTTCAATGCAATCTGTGCAAGCACACAGCAGTTCTGCATAATGCAGAAAGAACAGCAACAAACTGCTGTTAACATCCAAACCCTGGAAGAAAAAGAAAGGATAAAATTATTTTCTCTCAGTAGTGCCTTTTAAAATGGTTCCTCATCCTGAAATGCCACAGGGTATCACGTGTGTGGTCAACAGCCGATCATTAATTTAAAGTGCTCTTCCACTGAGGTGGAATCACTGTGCACAGAGCAGCTCAGTTGCCACCCAGCTCTCTGGTTCACGGACAGTCAGGTCAGGTCAACTCCTACATGTCTGCAACCTTCTCAATACCTCAACAGGGAAAACTATAGCCCTAGGAAGGCCTATTCTTCACCCAGCTGCAGCTGCTTTTGTACCAACTCATGGAGAATAAAGCTTTTAGCCTGAATCCTGAGACAAATATTTCGAGGCTCAAAGAAGGAGAGAAATAATACAGATACATCAAATGCCAATAACAGCTGCTGTCTTGGCCAGTCTTAAAAAAAGAACAACCTACTGAAAGCTTTTCCTAGACCCATGTATAAGTATTATTTTGCCCATGCATCTCCTTGTCCACCACATCAGACTCACACTTGGCAGCACTGTGTAAAACACAGCTGAAAGACTGAGAAAGCAGGGCTGCAGGACCTACAGTTGTGTGGGGCTCAGCAGCTTCCAAGTAGGAGAGGGGACACAGAAAAAAGGATACAAACACTCTCACAATAGCCTCCAAAGGCTGAATAAAAGGAATTTA